AGCGCACAAAGTAAATTAGCAATTTAGATAATTATGTGGCAATTACATCATAAGATTCGGACTAGGAATAGACTAACTTGATCGAATAGACTAAGGGCCTGTTTGTTTGGTGTTTTACTTTGGTGTTTTTGTTGCAGGGCTTCATTTCAGGCCCAAAAATATGTTTGGTAACACTTGTTTCGTTTTAAACAGTACAAAACATTGTTTCAAACAGTGGCCCAAAAGTGAAACACCAAAATGGTGTGTTTTGTTGTTTTAATACTGTAGCCTAATAAAAAGCACTGTAGCGGATGAAACAGCCGGCCCAATTTGTTTTAGCTATATAAACATTTTAGGTCATTTGTGCACAAATTTTCTCTCTCCTCTCCCGATGCTCTCTCTGCGATTCAAGGGCGATTTCCAATCGCCTCCATCTCTATTCTCGTTCTCCACTCTGAACTTGCCCAAATCTACAAGAATCAGAAGTTTAAAACCCATTTATTTCAGTTTATCTATCTGTCTGCAAGAATCAAAACCTATTATTACCTATAAATAATGCCTCCATCTCTATTCTCGTTCTCAGACCTAAACTTGCCCACTCTTTCTCTTTCTGCAACTAGGTCGATATTTTGATTCGAGGGTTGTATTTTTTTCTTGCGACCCAATTTGGAGGATCGTAACCGGAGGGACAGTACAGTAGCCGAAGATTTCTTTATGTGTTGGCGTCTTCATCATCAACGAGTTGTCTGTCAGATCGTGAAATTTTTTATCTGTTTCTTCGTGTCGCGACCTCATTCTTTGCTATCGCCGGAGTTTCTTTGTTGTCGTCGCCCTGTGTTGTGTCCCTAGCTTCATCATCGGTCGTCTTCTTGCTTCATACATCGGCGCAGGTGTTTCAGTGGCTGCCGTCTTTTGTTTCTGGCCGGTAGTTGTAGCTTTCGTTGAAGAAGAAGAAGAGTGGTTGTGCTGTGTTTGGCTACTGGGGTCTGCTATCCCTAACCCAGAGAAAAAGAGAGTTGCAGAGTGATTTTTGAGAGAGAGAGAGAGGGATCTGCCATCCCAAACCTCGCTCTAGCATTACCTTGCAAAATTTTTTTTTTACATGTTTTTGTTTTTGGCATATTTACAGCAAAGTATAGTTTCCAAACGTACTTTCAAATTTGTTCCAAAACACCTTATAACAAAAACATTATTTTTATTTTAGCTAAAAACAAAACATCAAAAACAAAATGCATACCAAAAGGCCCTAAACAATTACACCTTATAACATAATTGAGTGACTAAAATTACACCGTATAATATAATTGAGTGACTAAAATGCTGGAGTAATTTTTATTCTTCTATATATAACGGCTCGGTTTGAAACTGGGACAGACTGAGCCGTGAAAACCGAACCAAATCGACCAACCCAATACTTTCTCACAGGACCGACCTTGAGGGAGAATATTGGATTGTTACGTTTGCACATAACCCTAACAAACCCTAATTGTTCTTCATACATTTTATAGAGAGACCTATATACACACGCATATACCTATAGAGATACCGAGTTACCTAGCCCTTTGTCCCTTAATAATCTAATTCTTTCGTCAGTTTGTGTTAAAATTTCAGATCCCAAAAACCCAAAACCAGAGAGAAATCAGCAAGATGGATCTGAATTTATTCAGAAAGAGATTGAATGAGCTATACTCATGTTGGAAGAAACTCAAGGAAGAACTATGGGGAAATTCAGATCTTCTCGTAATCCATACACCACCTTCTAACCCACCAGCCGTGTCCTCCTTCTTCTACTTCTGGTTGATGGGTCATGATCTTCCTGACACAACCTCCATTTTTACCCAGAAAGAGATACACTTTATCTGCCCAAAGAACAAGGTTTCTGTTCTAGAAACTCTAGTTGGTCCTGCCATGGAAGCAGTGCATGCTCATGTTTCAGTCATTGGGAAGGAGAAAGGGAATGATGGGTTGGCCTTAATGGACGATGTTATTCGCCGGATGAGCCCTCTTGTAGTAGGGTGTATACCGGGGGAGTATCCGAAAATGGAGGTTTTAAGGCACATGGAGTATCAGTTTGTGACTGTGAACAATGGGCTTTCGAGGCTGTCAAAATTATTCAATCATGGAAATAAAAAAGTTAAGAATTTGGGGAATTCTGGGAAGATGAGCAACTCTAGGGTTGATTCTAGATTTAATGGTAATGGAAGAGGGAGTCAAATGGGATGTGTATTGGATAAGTTTGAACCGGTGTTGTCATTGGCAAAAGAGAGCAAAGAGAAAGGTAATGCAGATAAATCGAGATCACACGAAGAGAACAATTATAGGATTGATTCTAGATTCCATGGTAATGGTAGGGGGAGTCAAATGCAATGTGTATCGGATAAGTTTGAACCAGTGTTGTCATTGGCAAAAGAGAGCAAAGAGAAGGGTAATGCAGCTAAATTGCCACCCAAAGTTGAAGAAAAAAAACTTTTGATTGAAATGGAAAAGGGTGATGCATCAATAAGTATCTGTCATATGGCTAAAGTTTCTTCGCATGATGAACAATTAGAAGGCAACTCCGATGAGTATATTTTGCTTAATTATGAAGAAGATGAGTGGGAGTTGGTTGATTAGGCATATGTGCATAAGGTATTTGCAAATTCAGAAAGGGGTTTTTCTCATTTATTTTGTTTCCTCTCGTTTGGGTACATATTTGTTTTTTCGATCAATTTCACTTTAGGCATATCTTTTCTTCATTAGGTACATGAGTACATTGAATAAATTAGTTGGATTTCTTTGTATCAAGCTTGGGAAGTCATCACCATATGAATATATATAAAAGGGCTTGTTTAAACTTTAGACCCAATTGCAATAACTTTTTCATATTTATTGTATTAAATCTTGAGAAGCAAGTTTGTGTTTTAGAGTAGCCATTAGGTTTGTCCCATGTCTTTCCTGTAGTGGCCTTTGCAATGTATTATTGTGGTGAAGAGCAGGGTAGTAATTAGAATAGTTTTGTTCTAGTATGCTGGCTCTGCTTTTTTTAACATGATTTTATATATTTAAGTCGCTTACGCATTACTTGTTTGTTTCCAATATTTCCTCAATTATTGTTCTTTCTCACGATGCCCTCATTTTACTTGCACAAATAATAACTTTGAAGTTATTTGCAGACAGTGATAGCTTGGGATATATACCTTATAAATTACTATTTGTCACACCCCTTTTCACAGAGTGATAGTTTTTGGTATCAGAGCCTAAGCTGTAGGGAGAAAAAAACAATAATAACTTAAATTCCAAATTAAAGATGAACTAAGTACCTATTATAGGTTGAAACAACTCAACATTTGTCTTATTTGATGATACATGCACATCAAGTTATAGCAGAGTACAATTTATTTTTCCTATTGAGTGCGAGGTATGCAAAGTTTGATGCATATGATTAGCATCTATAAAGTAACATTATGCTGGTTCATTCTATATGTATAGCCATGTGGAGTATATTTTGTGCATCTAGATGACCACAAGCCCTTTAGACTATGTTTTTTATTTTCATGGATTTTGCTCATGATGCTATTATATGTGACTTTTCATATATACTCTCCCTGATTGTGATTGGGGTCAGTTTTAAAACTAGAACTATCTATCCGTAGTGTTAATTTTTTCTTAGTTTGGTAAGAAGGGATTAATTACTTACCTGGTTCACAAGGTTGGTCATGGTCTTCCAATAACGTGAATTTGATTTTATGAGTTAACTCAGGATTGAGTCTAACAGAAGAATTGTTCAACGAAATTTGCCAATCATATTACTAGAATCCTAAAAATCCCAACATAATGTTTGGGGGATTGTCTGAAAAATAAGTGTTTTTGTTTAGGGAAAGATGATACTAGAAGAGTTAAAAGCGGCTCTCTAAAATTTACTCTAGTCAAATGGATTGATAGAAGCATCAACTTGCTTGAATTCAAACAATTACTTAGCCAAAAGATTTCCTTTTGGCCTGATGGAGGTTATAATGGAAATGAAGAAACAGCAGGATTCGTGATTATAAGCATTCTAATAATCCTTTTGATTCTTGATGAGGCTGATGAACTTGAAATATTGTTCAATTTGGTGATGTTCCTTATAAGAAATAAAGAACTGAAATTCCTATCTAATGGATCGCCTCGTGTGTTAACTAGAATGTTCAAAGGTTGTTTGAGGCCAACGATTGTTAGTGTTGTTCTTAGAGGAGATAGTGTTGAAGACAGAAGCTTCTTCATGGGTTGAAGTTAAATTAGATTATTAGGCCATGACAAATATGGTTTTGGAGGTGTTGTTGATCACTGTTCCAGTTGTGGGCTAGGAACTATGCTATGACTTGTTGGCTAGGGATAGGAACTATGCTAGCTCTTCATATATATAGACATGGCAACTGTTGTATCAATTGGTTTATCTCACGTGACCTTTACATAGGCACTATGTTTCGTGGATTCTATTTCTTTTCACAATCACCACTTTTACTTCGTGCCTACACTGATGCAGAATGGGCAGGTGATCCAACATACCTCATTCCACTACAGGATTTTGCTTCTTACTTGGAGATTCTCTCATCTCTTGGCATAGCAAAAAACAGACAGTGGTTGCTCGGTTTAGCACAAAAGCCGAACATAAATTTCTTGCTCATACTACCTTTAAGCTTCTGTGGTTGCGTTGGCTCCTTCAAGACATGGGGATTTCCTCTTGTGCCACTCCTATCCACTGTGCTAGTAGGTTCAGATAGCACACAATGATGGCATTTCAAGATACCTTACAGTTGCTATCTATTCCTTCAAAAGACACCACAAGAAAATTAAGCATTAAGTTATTAACCATGGGCTTTCTACCACGGGTTGGCACAGCCCGTGGTAGAAAGCGCCCTACCACCCCGGGCTGGGCCTGTGGTGGAAATTTACAGTTTTACCACACAATTCGCCTGTAATGGAAAGTGTCATTTATTTTTTAATTTTTTTGTCCTTTTCCCCCCAAAAGATTCTAATTGGTGCTATTGGAATCACGCTGATATTTTTTATTAGCTAAATTGGTGATACCCCCAAACACTTTATACCCTAACATGCTCTGATGCCTTCTCCCTTTATCCAAGATGGTAGTTGGCTTGAATGAGCATTCGGTGGATGGGGCATCATGTGAGCCCTTCTTCTACTTACAGTTCTTTGATGGAGTTGCTAGATCAGAATCGTAGAAAGAGGCCGGAGAAGCTGCCCGTTGACCTCCCTGCTAGTTCAAGTTCAAAGCCCTAACCCTCCCTCTCTCTATTGAAGCCCTTTAATTTCTCTCTGATTCGAAGCGAACTGTTGATCTCCATAACCAATGCTTCAATTACTGAAGCCCTAACCCCCCTCTCTCTCACTCGAAGTAAACAATCAATTGTACCAATAATTGATTCATTTTATAAGGTTTGGCGTCAAACCCCTCTGATGTTATTTTGCTCATTCTTTTTTCAGTACATCATATGACCAATTTAATTTTTATTTTGCTCAAGTTTAGAGATTTGTTTGTTGATAAATATTGTTCTCAGAACCCACCTGTAGTTACTTATGCAACATAAGAAAATTGTATTCCCGAAAATTCTTTTAAACCTCTAAATTTGGAATCCTACTACGATCCTATATATGGTTTCTCACATGGCTTTACTTTGATTTTAATTGATAAATGAAAAAAAACAAAACAAAACATTTGAGTGAAATTGATTGTGTCAATTGCAGAGGTATTTCCTGGCCCAACTTTGCTCTGCTACTTTATAATCCCTGGCTACTTTGAGCTAACATCACATCTTTTTTTCATTGACAAGAACCACACTCACACCCAACATCTCATCTTCTAGTTTACTATTCCTATTTAATTGTAAGTCTCTCTCTCTCTCTCTCTCTCTCATCTACTGGATTAGTTGAGTTGACTTGAAATTCTATGTTTTATGCACTTCTTTAGCCTTGTGACTGCCCTTGATTTGAAGTTGTGGGTTGAAAATTCTTCTAAAAATTTACTGAGAATTGAAGTCCCTTGATGCATGTAGTATCCAAAAGTTCCGAAACTGTTAGTGTATATTGTTTTTGATATATTATTGTCATTTGTGCAAAGGGTTTAATTTTTCTGAAAATATATGTTGGGGTTTGTTGTATTGACTTTACAATTCATGTTGTTCATGTGCCAAAATTATTGGAAATATTGATCTCTGTTCTTGAAATCGATACCCAACCTAGGATTATATTATGTAAAGTTGTGTGTTCTCGTAAGAGCAGAGTTTTACGTGAAAAAGCAAAGAAGAGTTCCTTTTATTTATTTGTTCATTTATCTATTTTTTCACCCATGTTATGGATCATATTTACTGTCGGTTTAGATGTACAAAACTTGTTTAAAGAGCACTGAATCACGATTTTAAGAAGCATTATTTTTTTATGGGTGCCTTGGTAATCAGGGGTCACGATTTTATCTCGCCATGTTTTAGTTTCTAAAATGAAAATTACTTAATTAAGAACCTTTATTTATTTTGCTAAGAATTAAATTTGGGATGCAAAAATTTCATTTATATGAATCATTCTTAACAGAGTGCAATCTTTGGTCCAAATCTGAAGATTCTTAATCCGGGAGAGTTCGCGGGTTTTGTCTCGATACCTTTGCCTGTCGGGTATGTTATCAGAATCTCCTCTCTTGCCAAATAACTAACCGTTGACCTTACATGCATCCCAATGACTGCATTTTATACTGCAAAATTGTTTGAGAATTTTATTTTCGTTCTGTTAATTCAGCCCCTTCGCTTAAATGTTATGGGCTTGCCCTTGACTGCATGTAGTTCTTTCAGTATAAAATCATTGCAGTCTTGGTATGGAATATTAGATTAGTTGATTTTGTTTCCTGCAGCAATTGAAATGAGGCTATGCATCACAATTGAAATGATGCTATTTATACCATTCTTATCTGAGTTCAAAACTGTGTGTTTGTTTGTTTTTTTTTTATATGTCACTTGTGCTGATTGATAACTTCTCTTTCTTAATTACCGGTTTAGTTTTTCCCTTTTATTTCTAAATTTTATTCTGAAGATTTTTTTTATTGAGAATTATAGTTAATTAGGAGTTACAATTGGGATTGAGAATTACATTTAAGACTAAATTTTACTTTTGAACTTTATAATATATAGTGAAATTTATAATTAATGTAATACTCCCTCTATCCCATTTTAGATGTTGCTTTTGGGGTGTAGGAATTTTTAAGGGGACATGTGGGACATGCCTTGTCTCCCTGAAAAGTTACTAATTTGCCCTTCTAAGTTTTGAATATTCAAGATTGAAATTTTAAACTCCAATGACATATATGGAAAGATGTAAAATATATTGTTTGAAAAAGGAAAGTGACAAGTATTTTGGGACAGACCAAAAAGGAAAGCATGACATTTTTTTTTGGACAGAGGGAGTAATACCTTTTATTGAATTATATTTAAGATAGAAATCTATTTTCCATAATTCCAGCTCAATTTATGCCTATTATTTTCTAGGTTTTGACCTATTGTAGTGTTATGTTGACTTATTTTCCTTGGGAATATATTTAGTAGCTGGAGTTCTCATTGGTAAATCATTGTTTCTAACTTCAAAGACTATGGTTTATCTAGTTTGGCCTGTTGGTGACTGGTCTGTGAATAAGGCTTGGGAAAGTCCTTCATTCTTAATGTTAACAAGTTCATTCTTAGTGGCTCATTTTTTGGACTGGAACAATGTGTTAGCTAGAAATAGAATATGTTTAGGGGTATTCATACTAGAGAGACAAAATGTATCCACACTCATGGGATTAAGCTAATTAAAAAAGTGTGAATTGGAGGATTTATAAGCTCTGCTCTAACTGTTCTGATTGCTAATTTAGTGATAACTTTTAACAACACTAGTTTAGAGCGCTGTTAAAAGTCATATATTTATTCTTCATGTAAACTTAGACCCGTTCAAGGATCATTGCTTGGTGCAATGGTTCTTGAATTGTCCCGTTTGACAGTTTGGGAATGCATAGATCTTCATTGCAGTGTGTTACTCGTGTTATGTTCTGTTGTAAGAAAATTTTGCCAGTGTTTCTCAATGTTTCTCTGGGTACATATTTAGACTTTGTGTCATACGTTGTTGGTCACAACTAACTGGTATATGTGCATCGAGTTTATCTTGTGTACTTGCAGAACCAAGGGGAGGTGCTACTGAAATTTTCTTAGAATTGGAATGTAGCATTTGAGCAATTCACTGTGATGCAGATTATGCAATTCCTGAATGGGATAGGAAAACCACACCTGTAGCAAATTCTTGATGCATATGAGAATTCTTACTTTATTTTTTCTTATGGTTGTAACGTATGCTCTCACCGATTCTTTTAAAAAAAATTTGGTAAGTAAGATTTTATAAAAGGCGACCAAAATGGACACTATAGCTTTAATCCATCCACAAAATCCAAAAGACAATCCATTGAATTACAATCCTGCCCATTTACCCAAAACAATAAAGAAGTAAGAATACTGTATTTAATAGTCCAAATGGGAGACTCCTCTCCCTCAAAATATCTCCTATTTCTCTCACGCCACCTAAGAAGCACTGACACGGCACAAAGGGATGCCGCACCGGTGTTGGACACATGTCCGATACGCAATAGTAGTGTCCGTTTATTTTATTATTATTATTTTGATCGACACGTTGCCGGACACGTTAGGGACACTTCACCGGACACGGCTGTTTGGAAGAGAAGATGCAGATGATATACAAATAATATACCTGGTTGACTGATTGGAGTTTTGTTGGAGAGAAGATGAAGATGATATATGTATATATATATATATGTGTGTGTGTGTGTGTGTGTGTGTACGAGTGTATCATGTATAAATTTGAGATAAGAAAGATAAGGATTGACGAGGCGATGAGAGAATCGCTGTGAGAGAGACTGGAAGCCGAGAAGATGAGGAAGAGATGGACAAGATGTTGGAACCAGAGCATCAGAAAGAAGAGGTTGGGGAAGAGTGAAGGGGATAAGAACAAAATCTTACTATCATGTTTTCGTCCCTGTTTGGTTATAAGAATAGGAATTCGTCCCTGTTTGGTTATAAGAATAGGATTTCGTCCCTGTTTGGTTATAAAAATAGGGAGCTGTGTCTTGAACATATATATATATATATATATATTATCTTTTATATATTGTATATGTTAATAAAATTTTTACCTCTTTTTTTTTTTTCAAAGAAAGCGTGAACTATTTGATGGGTTTAATTAAAATAAGCTATGTTTATTAGTAATATAAATTAGAAATTGAATAAAAGTTCATTTTCTATATTGGTCCATTCTCAGCCTCGGTAAAGTGCATCTTCTTGTGATAGAAATGAACAAGAACAAATAAGTTTTAGCTAATGTAATAAAAAGCACCCTTATTCCTGTGTAGGGGCAACTCTTATGTCTTCACCTATAATAAAAAATTCTAATATTATTTATTGGCGTATCCCTGCCTTATCCGTGTCCTATTATTTTGAAATTTAGCTTGTCGCCGTGTCTGTGTTGTGTCGTACCTATGTCAGCGTCTGTGCTTCTTAGCGCGCCACAAACCCCACCAAATACAAAGGGGAGTGGCCCTCCAAGCATCGTTGACTCGGCTCTCCACTATACACCCTTTCCAAGTCTCTAACAAGTCAACCGTGGATTCTGAGAACACCCATGGAAGACCAAACACAACCAAAAACATAGACCAAACATCCCTAGCCACCGAGCAATGAATAAGGAGATGGTTGACAGATTCTCCCGTCTTCTTGCACATATAACACCTGTTAACAACAATTTGACTTCTTTTTATAATTTTGTGATATTAAGGATGCTTCATTTAAGTATACTTTATGTTACTTTTAAATATATATATATATATATATATATATATATATATATATATTTTATGAATGCAGCATTTGAGCTTGGATCAATGACATTGAAGATGCTGAAAGTGATCTAGGCGCTTTTCAATTTGAGTTAAATTCCTTATTTGAAATAATATAGTGGCCACACATGCTTTATATATATAGGTTCATTTAGTTGCTCTTATTATTATTATTATTACCTGTTAGAGGTAGTTCATATATGCGTATGCATGTGGAAATTGTGAATTCTTGTTATATAGGTAATGTGGCATACTCATTTTCTTGTCAGGCTATTTTGTCCATGTTAGGTTTAAGGCATGTGATATGTTTTTAAATTTTAGGGTTAATTACATTCACACCCCCTGAGGTTTGCCTTATTGACAGGCAGATGAAACTTGGCTTATTTTTGAACGCTCACACCCCTTGTTAGAAATTTAATCCAAACATGCCCTTAAAAGGTGAGAAAAGACAAAATTGCCCTTCAATATTTTAATTAATTTTAATTGTAAAATATCATAAATTTTAAAAGACTAAAACACCCTTGAATTTACAACACTATCTGGAAATTCAACCAGTCTCTTTCAAGACCTTGTGCACAAGCATCTCTGATCTTGGCAAGACGACAACAGCGATAACTTCTCATTGTGGGAGTCCAACGACGAATGATGGCCGTGAAAAGTCTCCATGATATTCTCCATCACCGATTCAACAACTGATTCTACCTTACAGCCATGATCGGGCATCGTAATTACCGTAACCAATTTTTGATCTAGTACACCTCACAGTCAGTAATCGAACCCCTCAAAGTAGTTACAATGAGGTGTACATGACGATGTGGGTTTCCCAAATCTAGCACCAACTGGAACCCAAACCCAAACCGCACCCACTGCTCTCAAATCCACTCCTCCATAGGTGGTGGGGGTTGGTGGTGGATGAAGTGGTGGTGGGGGTTTGATGGGGAGCCGGATGTCACAAATCCAGGAACAACAACCCAAACCCGAATCACTTAATTTTCTTGCACTCAGTGCTTCAATTCCTCTGGGAATGTGAAATTAATTAAATAATCGTATGTAAATAGTGTGAAATTGATACAAGTTCATATCACCGTAAATATGCTCATCTCTATGTAAATGTATATGAATGGAGTTGAAGACCCAAATTAATGATCCAAAAAAAATAAAATATATGAATGGATATTCAGGTGATTGAATTTTCTATCCGGATGTATATGTGTTATGTGTGTGTATATATATATATGTATACCTTGACAAACAAATGAAAAAAGAATGTGTCAATATATATATGAACGTGCGTATGGAGTGTAAGGGTTCCAACATGTGAATTTGTTGTTGGAGGACGAATAATTTGAGGAGGCTGTTGGGTTCACTAGTGTAGAGAGAGAAACACCAATTAAATCAAAGACACTAATTTATTTCATAAAAGCAAACAAAGACAACCTTTAGTTTTTTATTGTTTTGTTTCTAAAAATGGAAAGAGAGAGAAAGCGTAACAATGGTGGATTGTGATTGTGGTGGCGGCGGCTATGGTGGTAGAGGTGGATATAGAGAGGAAGAGAAATAGGGTGGGTAGTTGTGGGGAAAGAGAGAGAAAGTGAGGGTTAATTTGGTCCAATGAAATAGGTGAAAGGGTAATAATGTCAATTAACAATGGGTCAGATGTGGGAGATGACTATTGGGATGCCTTTGTTAAGTTTATCAAAATTGAGGGGGTGTTATTGTTCAGCAAAGCGTTAACTTTCATCTAGTTGTCAATATAGCAAACCTTAGGGGGTGTGAGTGTAATTAACCCTAAATTTTATTTTCTTTTAGAAGTAGTTTATATATGTATATTTTACCAGGCAATTGTGAATGCTTGCTACATAGTTAATTGACATTCTGATTTTACTTTTAGGTAGCATAATTTTTTTAAAAAAAAATGGATGTGCCACATGATCTTTAAGCTATACATAATCGCAATTGTATTAGTGTGTACTTACAATGAACTTGGCTTAGGTTATTGATCACTTCTACAAGAAGTAGTCACTTATCATTTAACAAGTCAGCAAGGAGTCATGGATAAAGTCTGGATTCACCTTGATGACAGGTTATTATAACCTAAATAACCTTACCCATAAAAGTTTAGACATTGTACTTGTCATTTTGTCATAATTAAAATTTTGAGTTTTCAACTGTACAGCTTCAATTGAGTATAGAACTGGAGCACAAAGTTTTGTTGAGTGGGCTCAAGCTAATGCAGGGACTCAAGATAGTATTTTATGCCCCTGCCTGAAATGTTTAAATTCATTATATCAACACTTCAAAATGGTTTACGAGATAATCGGAATGGATTCTAACCTACACTGTATGGGTCATTCATGGAGAGAATCGAAGTACAGAGGTTGAAAATAATGGTGATGAGGATGGTATGGAAATGCCTGAATCGTATAATATGTTTAGAGATGCATATTTTGATGGTGCAGACAACACTGCTACAGAACCTACTGCTGGAAGTAGAGAGGATGAGTTCAAAGCCTTATGAATTATGAATTTTCAAGTGCTATGGGATCACACTTTTTGCTTGGTGAATATGATGCTTCAAGAGGTTTTTGTGATTAAGCGTACTAGGTAGTTCATTGTTTTTAATATATCGTTTTAATGCTTTTCTTTTCTTTTTTTTGAAATTCTCGTATGTTTGTTACTTGGGGTAAGTGCAAAAAACACCCTTGAAGTATACTTTTCATAGCATTTTTATCCCCTATTTAAAAAAGTGTGCAAAAAACACCCCTATTCTTTTCAATTTGTGCAAAAACACCCCTCAATTTATATAATGCCCATTTTACCCTTTTACTTTTCAAAAAATGCCCTAACCTTACTCTCCACCCCAAAACCGTAACCACCTGGCAAGCACCGACCATGAAACTGGGTCTTGATCGGCTCCGGCAGTCTTGCGGGTATCGGTGCTTAGGTAGCCATCTTCTCGCGGTGGAGGTTGCAAACGGCTGGGAAGAGGTTGCCAGAGAGGTCTGCGTTCACAAGGTTGATGAATTTCAAAAATGTTGAAAGTTGAGATTCTCTCGCTCTAGCATTTTGGGTCTATCACAGTGGCATTTCAACACAAAACCAATCGTTCTCAACCACAATTCCTCTATTTATTTGCCTTATTAGTTGGTATTTGAATCGAAATTATCCACAAAACCCATCCCCCACATGATGAAACCAACCCAACCACCGTCTTTAACTCCACCGAATCCAAAACATATGTGGAACTGTAACGATCTGATAATGGAAAAACCCAATTCTCAAACAGATTCATTTAACTGGGATTATGTGAGTTATGATGTAATGGAAATGATTCTCTCTTACCTCCCAATTCTGTCAATTGTTCGTGCCTCTACAATTTGCAAGCTTTGGCACTCGATCATCACCTCTGTATCTTTCTCCACTCGCGTCTCCGCTGCGAAAAAGCCCTGGTTTTTCCTCTACGGCCAAAACAACATCTTCTTGAAGAACAACCAAGCCTTCGCTTTCGACCCTAAAGCCAATGAGTGGATCAAATTGCCCACCGCTCTCTTCCCAGGAAGAGTCCTTCATCGGCTCCGAAGGCTTCTGCTTCATCACCACCTCCTCCACCGCTGCCAAATTCAGCTTCTCGTCTATCCTCGAAGGCTCTGGCGGTCTTGCGGGTATTGGTGGTTGGTTATTGTTTGGTTTATCAATTTGCTGATGAATTTTCTGGGTTCTTGATTACAGTAGGCCGAATTGGTAAATTGGGTTGTCATCTTTTCTTCCTTCGGCGAACTAGGCGTGGTTTCCTTCTAGTCTTCGGTCCTTTCCGGCCATGGTTTAATTGGGTCTCGCTTGTGGGTTGTTTGTATGGGGTTGGTGTTGGCATTGTGGGTTTTTAGTAATTTCACAAAATATTAATTTTTTATATATATTATTAAATGTGTAGCTAAGGGCATTTTAGTCATAAATGTGAGTAGGACCTATTTGCACAAATGTCATAGCTTGGGGGTGTTTTTTGCACGTGAGGGATGCAATATGCACTATCAGCATACTATAGGGGTGTTTTCTGCACTTGACCCTTTGTTACTTAGTTATCATTAGACTAAGAAAGTGAAAAAAACCTGATGTTACTCAGTTCTCCGATGTTAGTGTCTGTTTTGATGATTAAAAACCTGACGAGTTCTATCCAAAACTGAATTGGGCAAAAAATGTTGATCGGAATCTAACACTAACTCATCAGAGATGCTAATGTTAAAGTCGTGGCAGCTTCCGAGCTCATTTACTCTTTATACAGGCTATGTTATAGTAAATGACTCTTCTCCCCTGGCTGTGAATAACCCCTCGGAAACAATTGTAACATTCTTAACAGCCTTCATGCACAAGTTAAAATAATATAGCCCTCCCAGTGAGCAAAGGACAAGAAGTACCACATGACAAAAAACTTTGTTATTAAGAAAAAGATTAGATTTAATGAGTTTGTGTCATTTGGTTTTAAGTATTTTTCATCTTTAAGAGATTGCTTGAGCATGAAATTAATTTAGAATTTAAGCCCCAAAAAAATCCCGAGCTGGTCCGAATTCCATTGTTCTTTTGGGAAGTTAAAGTCCAAATGTGCTTTAATATGGAAGTTTTTAATTCCATATCATAAAATTTGCTTTAATATGGAAGTTTATTTCCATATCTCAATAATTTTAACTCCCAAATCTCATTCTCTAGCCAATCATGGTGCCGTGGTCCTCTATGTGGATTCCCCATTGGCAAACATTCTAGTAGTTTAGGTAACAGTTCAACACTTCTGAATTTTCTAAAAGATTAATGGGATTGATTATGAATTGTACTTGATGAAGGTAAATGTAATGACTCATCTCCTTTTTGTGCTCGTGTTAGGAGTCAGGACAGGATTAATTGCCCCCCCTGATGCGTAGGATAATGATCTGCAGATTGTAACAATTTCAACAGTTAGCCCAACATGTAATCGAAAAATTATCATCGACTGATGTTATGCTTCACATGGTTGCCTACAAGGCTATAAAGCAGAGGAAAAAATGAAACATGAGATTCTTTATATATTTTTGATGTCTTACAATGCTTTTTTACCGGTTAAACTTAATGAATTTTGATCTCTACGTTGGCAACTCATTGACTACAACTTATGCTTGAAGTGATGACAAAGCAGTAAATTTAGGCAGCACAAGTAGCCTATGATTATAATTTAGTTAGAATGAACTGATGGAACATGATTTATGTGATGGACCTGATTTGAGTATTCACCAGTGGAGGGCTAAAGAACATTGGTCCTGCATTTTCAGGTAGCAGTGTCCCCATCCTTTGCTTAGACTGCTTGTTTTGATCGGGCAGCTTTTCTCACAGCAGTCGTAATTTTTTCATAGCTATCAATTTTGTTTTTAAATATGAAGAAACTTTACACACATGGTGCCATCTAATAGGAAAATGGAGATTCTGATGCTTCCAATGAATTTCTCGTCTTTGTAGGACATGGGGTGGTTATCCAGGTCTGCAGTTGCTGCTATTTTTTTGTTGCTGCTCTATGTAGTTTTTGCTGCTGCACCGAAAACAAGTTACAGATGTAAGGGGAAGCCTTTTTTGGCAAGTAAATATCAAGGGAAAGGCTTTTTTATTTTTATTTTATTTATTTATTTTTTTTTTTAGATGCATTTTTTGTTGAGTTGGCTTAGGTGGTTGGTTACGTCTTCTATGATTTTTGGCCAATACTGAACATAGGGATTTTCTAAAATTTGCTTGTAGTCTGTTGTGACAGTGTCCTTGTGATGCTTTGTGAAATGCAATCATATTATTTAGCGGGGGAAAAAAAGATGTATGAGGTGGATCATGTATATTGGTTTCTGATTTTTGTAGCTCATGCCCGGATGGTTATGATGTTATTGGTCCATTTTATGTGGATTCGGGTTCGATCATTTTGTTGCATTTTTTGTTTGCTACAATTTTTTGTTGATGGTCTGGCTTCTGTTGGCTTCTTGTGGGGCTATCTTGTATAGCTGTACGTGTTGTACAACCAAAAAGGGTATGCTAATGTTTCTGCTTGTTCATGTACTAAGAGGGCTTTATATCTACCACGGGATATTTAGCCCGTGGTACAAGGTCAACCAATTTTTTGTTGTTACTACCACAGTTTCAGCTTGTAACCAGTGGTATTACAAAAAACAAATCTACTACGAGAAAAATTTTCTTGCGTCCATTATACTATGCAACTGATGCATCCAATTGTTCATTGGCGTGCGTATTACACGGATGGTTTGGATGCGCCCGTTACATGATGCAACGGGTGCGAGGAAGTTTTTCTTCACAAACTTTCCAAGTTGACACTGTGATAGAAAAGCTGGTGAAAGAAAACTATTTTACCCGTGATTAATACCCAATTTTCCTGTAATGAGATCAGTTGGCCGATATCTTCACTAAATCTCATCCCCTAGCCGATTTCGTGACATTGTGTCGGAACTTAAGTTTGTTTCATAACCCATCATGAGTTTGAGGCATACAGTATATATACTTGGCCTCCATGTCCAATCAACCTATATATATATATAGGCACCTCAGAATATATAGATTCAATACATAACACTTGGTAATTTAAATGACAATCATTGTTCCTTTCAATGTTTCACGTGGATGTCACTGTGAGACGAATAGCACCCGAAGTAGCAACATTTTCACATGGTCCATTATTGTGCGTCGAAGTACCATAAGAATCTACAATATGTATCATTGTAGTAACATTTTCAAGGGGCCCATAATCCATTGTCGGACAAGATGTACCATGGTAAGTTTCATGTGGTTCAGGAACGCACACGATATATAGCCTCATCATAACAACTTTTATATTCTAAATTTCTAATCCACTCAGCAAAGAAGCAACACACGGTGTGTGTGAAATGGATCAATTGAAGCCAAGTGCTGCAAACTCCAGTCCTCTCACTCCTCTGGGCTTCCTAGAGAGAGCTGCTACAGTATACGGCGAGTGCACATCCATCGTGTACAACGAAAAAACTTACACGTGGTCGGAAACCCACCGTCGATGCCTCCGAGTCGCTTCATCAATCTCATCGCTCGGCATCACAAGAGGCCACGTGGTCTCGGTGCTGGCCCCCAATGTCCCCGCCATGTACGAGCTCCACTTCGCCGTGCCCATGGCCGGAGCGATCCTGAACACCGTCAACACCCGCCTCGACGCCCGCACCGTCTCCATACTCCTCCGCCACAGCGAATCAAAGCTCATCTTCGTCGATTATCTCTCAACCTCTCTAGTTCTAGAAGCACTCTGCCTCTTCCCACCAAACATCAACCGTCCTACTCTCGTCCTCATCACGGACAATGAAGCTTCATCACAACCCACCGACGATTTTCATACTACTTACGAGGGTTTGGTTGATGGAGGTGATCCAGAGTTCAACTGGATCCGACCCAAAAGCGAGTGGGACCCAATTGCGTTGAATTACACATCGGGCACCACCTCGTCTCCGAAGGGAGTGGTTCATTGCCACCGTGGGATTTTCATCGTGGCCGTCAATACATTGATCGAATGGTCCGTTCCCAAGCAAGTGGTGTACTTGTGGACCCTACCCATGTTCCACGCAAATGGATGGAGCTTCCCGTGGGGAATCGCCGCCGTGGGCGGCACTAACATCTGCCTCCGCAAATTCGACGCTCCGCTCATCTACGACGCGTTACGGCGGCACAATGTGACCCACATGTGCGGAGCTCCTGTTGTGCTGAACATGTTGTCCAACTCCCCCGACGGCGAGCCTCTGAAAAACCCGGTTCACATCCTCACCGCCGGAGCGCCACCGCCTGCGTCGGTGCTACTTCGGACCGAGTCGTTGGGTTTTGTAGTTACTCACGCTTACGGTTTGACGGAAACAGGCGGATCAGTGGTGTCGTGCGAATGGAAGCCGCAGTGGAATCGGCTTCCGGCGACGGAGAGGGCGAGGCTGAAGGCGAGACAGGGAGTGAGGGCACTCGGGATGAGTGAGTTGGACGTGATAGATCCCGAGTCAGGAGCGAGTGTGACTCGGGACGGGTCAACAGTGGGTGAGATTGTGTTAAGTGGTGGGTGTATCATGCTGGGTTATCTCAAAGACCCAGAAGGGACGTCCAAATCGATGGGAAACAATGGTTGGTTCTATACCGGAGATGTGGGAGTGATGCACCCAGATGGGTATATAGAAATCAAAGACCGATCGAAGGATGTAATCATCAGCGGCGGCGAGAATGTGAGCAGCGTGGAGGTGGAATCGGTTCTGTATACGCACCCGACGGTTAGTGAGGCGGCTGTGGTGGCGCGACCGGACGAATTCTGGGGCGAGACGCCGTGTGCTTTCATAAGCCTGAAGGCGGAGACGACGGCTACGAAGAAGCCGACGGAGAAGGAGGTGATGGAGTTCTGCAGGGCGAGATTGCCGCACTACATGGTGCCAAAAACGGTGGTGTTGAAGGAGGAGCTTCCAAAGACGTCCACCGGCAAGATTAAGAAGTTCGTACTGAGAGAGATCGCCAAGAAAATGGGATCGTCGAGGACGAGTCGTATGTAGGAAACTGAGCTGAGTTGAGTCGAGTCGAGTCGACTCGTCACAGAGTTATTTATGTATCAGTGGGAGAGAGTGGAGTCACCGAATAAAATTGGGATAAGTGGTAAAATTAAATATAAAATTAAATTGATATTGTTTAATTTTTGTTTTTGGACATATATTTTAAATGTTAACTCTTGTTTTGACATGTGTTTTAAATTTTTTAAGTCATATCAGCAATAGGATAAAATTCATCCAAATTGGATTGGCCTAAGTATTGTTTAAATATATATATATATATATATAGAAAAACCTAATTGAGTAGCAGTTAGTTGAGATCAAAGAGGAATTGTGTCTAATCAAACCGTATTGAGGTGAATCGATTATATTCAATTCGGTTACCTCAATCTCTAATGGTCATATTTTAATTTTTTTTATTATTTTTTTCCTATCTAATTGATTTTTAAATATATGTACATACATTTATGTTTATGAAAACGGTTTTAGCGTTTTCAATTTGTCAATATGTGTTTTTCCTTTTTTTTTTAAAAAAAAATCATTTTTCAATTTAATATTATGTGCATACATTTATGCTTGTTAAAAGGGTTTTAGGACTTTCAATTTGTCAATATATATATTTGAAAAAATCTATTTTAATTCAAACCGAAAATAAAACCGTAATATTTACATATATTTATGTGAAAAGGATTTTAGATCTATATATATATATATGATGTAGTATACTCCTATAATTTGTTCAGAATCTTCAGACTCGATGTTCTGTGTCTTTTACACATGGATGCTGCTTTTCCTACCACTTTTTTGCAACTTTATTTATTATTTTTTTTATTTTTATTTTTATTTTTTTTTTGTCTAATAAGCATATAATATGGAGAATTCTTTTTCTACCCCATAATCCATATAGCATAATGCATGGCCCCATGTATAAACATTATTATGTTTTTTGCTTCACCATGTTTTTAATGCATATATGTCTTTATCTTGTGTGGCCCCCACATCTAGCAGTATTGAGTTGTTTCATTGTCATGCGTTTGTTTTCAACACAATCCCAAAATGAGATTTTGTAGGTTTTTTTGACTTCTGTTTTGTTAATTTTAGGTGCAGAAAATACCGATGGAGGATTTAAGAGAATCTTTGTTGATGAAGACGTATTAGAAATGATTGAAGTTAATCGAAACTCTGATGTCATTAAATTGTTTGTTTGTACACAAATATCCTCGGAGATGACTTTCTAATGGGCTGTTGATAAGTTGGTTATTAATGCAGTTATGTTGTTTTTAGTTATGTTATTTTTGTGGGCATCGAATTGATACGTTGAATTTAGAATTGAAAAAATTTAATTTAAAATTTGTACTAAAATTCTTTGAAGAGGAGTGTTAAGGACAGTCATGCTAGGAACTGTGCCTCTATGGTCATTTTCCTAATTGATCACAATTCATATATTTACACCTTTATTTACGAGATGTCTTAAACTTTTGAGATAAAAATGTTATTGATATATATATATATATATATATATATATATATATATATATATATGTTTATATTTGTATTTATACGCAATGAACTAAGAGAGATAAGAAAGGGTTAAATGACATTTTTGTCTTAAAAGTTTATTTATTTTTTTTAATTTTTATGTGGGGATTCTTAATTATATGTCAATATTACAAGTGACAAAGAGTGATACTAAATACAAGATATGATGGAACATCAACCAAAAAGTCATCCTCTTTCGTGCACGAAGGCTCTTATTTATAGTCTCAGACCTTTACATGACTCTCGAGGCTCTTCGAGATTCCTCCCTCCTAGGGTAGTTATCATGACCCCACAAATTTGAATAGGGACATTTTGGTCCTTTGGTTTGAAACGGGTGCTATTGTATTAAATGTATATCCTTTTGACAACAGCGGTAGTTGAAACTCATTAATGTAATTATCAATATTACAGTCGAGGTACATGAATTCATCATTATTTTGACCAAGCCTATGGGCTAGGCAAAAATAGGCCGTGGGGCCGTTTCTTCTTACAAGCTTTGTTGTTGAGGCATATAACATCATCTGTGATGCTGGGTTCGAGCCCAATAAAGGAACAAACATGTGGGGCATGCCACACGGATTCATGGGCTACATTCCCTACAAAAGATAGATTATATCTCATAAATGAACATGTAAATCAACAAACATAACATTACTAGTGTGTTCGGAGATAACTTCTTTAGTGCGGGAGCCCTAAAAGAACAATGCGCAAACAAATGGTCAATGAGATCCTTCACATTTTGCCGAGCAAGATCACAATGAAAGAATAAATTATCAACGGAATCATTATCTTTCGTTCAATTGTGACAAATATGATCCAGGTAAGCTCCAACAAGAGAATTATTTTATTTTTTTTATTTTTGTCACAAGAAAAAATAAGAAGGAAATATTGTGAAACGTTTCGAAACTAAAGAGAGTTTAATGCATTAAGACCTAAAAAATAGATACGCAAAATAGAGAATTTATCCATTTTTGTTTTATGAATCTCATGAATTTCTCAACCAAATGATAAGATTAGGGGATATTATTGTTGATTACAGTACCCCTTACAAATAAAGTCAAAACTTTATTTGAATATATTTGCTTTCATTTTTTGTAACAATAAAAACACGATTTAATTGTATTGAAAACTTTATTAAACACTATTATTTTTAATTTTAATGCTATTTTTACTTCAGTGTTAATCTGCTTGAAAAGTATATAATATTAAAATTTATATTTAATATAATTAAATCGCATTTCAAAAACTGCTTTGAAATAATGAGAACAGTTACCTTTATAACCCCTACTCCATTATTCATGCATTTATTCCTCTCATAATCAGACACCTGGACCCCACAAGTCAAATCCTACAGCGTCCATCTCACATGGTGACAAAAGTGGAATGGAAATGATTTTCTATTACATTTTCTTTTGCTCTGCAGCTCGATTCCTTCGAGGGTTCAGATCTTTTCCCGCCTTTATATTTGCATTTTCAATTCTTAAAACTAATAATGTTGCAGTATCAATATTTGCGATGTATCAAAACTCTTCTCCAAATATCCTTGTGACAAAAAGAAGTCCATTAGGCCAAACAATGAGTCACTGAATTCTTATTTTAATGAATCGAGTTGATATGTTAGTAAGGATGACTTATTAGAACACCATTGAAAAATGATATTTAAGTCTACTAAGTAGTAAGTTTACTTGTCTAAATAATTATGGACATTGATGATCTAAAGTGAAACTGTTTTAGGTCGTCTTTTAGATCATCAAAAAGATTTTTGATGTAGTCCATGATAACGAATGGAGGTTCCTTGGAAGGCAAGAGGTTCATGGATGAATTGTTGGATTATAACCTAATCTCTTATTTTATTTTTGAGGTAAATGAAATTATATTAAAGGGTAAAGTGCTCGCGCGCACACACATACAAAAAAATATTTATAAAAAATATGCAAAAAATACTGCTGATATTTAGTGTGTATATAAATATCTGATATTTGAAAAAAAAATACAAATTATCCCCTAATATCACTTGTCTATCAATTTTGACCAAATATTTTTATAAAACCACCAAAAAACATTAATGCTCTCTCTCAGTGTTTTTTTTTTTTTATATATATATTTTTATTTTCTGTCTTAAGGGAATTTTAAATATTTTTATTTGCTCAAATTGAAAAAAATGTAAGAATTTTCTTTTGTACAATAAATAGATATTTGCAATGGCACAGAGCAACCCCCACACATAGACCAGAAGAAACACACAAACAGGCCCAAAAGGACCCAAAGATACCACAGAGAGAACCATGGCCCATATAGACCCAATGCTTAATTGGTACGTTCACCACTTTTTCTTCCTCAAAGCATTATAACTTTATAAGCATATCTCACGTGCATACATATTAAATTCAATGTTATCAATATAGGAGTTTTTAATATCTTACTGGGACAACAACATTACAAATTGCTTCAGCTCTTTTTATCCATTTCTGTTTTGTTTTTTTTTTTTGTTTTTTTTTTTTTAACATTTATTTATTGTATATTAATTTTTTGGTGAGATTTTTTTTAAAAATATCTTAGGAGTAATTTTACAAGAGGCACTCCTACTATTTTTCATAATTAATAAATAATATTAATAATGCATTTCTAAAATATTAATTATCACATGGAACCAATAAAATTTTCAACGAACATTCCTCAGAGGTATACTTGGAAAAATTTCAATTCTCAAAGCGAGTGTACCTATGTTTAAGTCCCCGCCCCTAGGTAGGATGCACATCCATAATTTGGATTGGATCAATTTTAGAATATTTTGAAACCACATCGATTTTAACAGTTTTAAAAAAATCCGAACTTAATCAAATTGTGAAACTAATGAAACAGACCAAACCGAACCATTAGAGAACCCCTTGGTTTAGTTAGGGGCACATGTGGTCTGTACCCCGGTTACCCAATACTTTCTCGAAGGACCGACCTTGGTAACAACACATATAAGAGAGAATATTAGATTGTTACGGTTACCATAAAACCCTAACCCTAATTTTTCTTCATATATTCATACACACTGGTATTATTTGATCAGTTTGTGTTAAATTTTCAGATCCCAAAAACCCTAAAGCAGATAGAAATCAAAGCAACAACAAGATGGATCTGAATTTATTCAAAAAGAGACTGAATGAGTTATACTCATGTTGGAAGAAACACAAGGAAAACCTATGGGGAAACTCAGACCTTCTTGTGATCCACACACCACCTTCTCACCCACCCGCCATGTCCTCCTTCTTCTACTTCTGGTTGGTGGGTCATGACCTTCCTGACACAACCGCCATTTTTACCCAGAAAAGGATATACTTCATCTGCCCAAAGAATAGGGTTTCCGTTCTGGAAACCCTAGCTGGTCCCGCTATGGAAACACTGCATGCTCATATTTCAGTCATTGGGAAGGAGAAAGGGGATGACGGGTTGGCCTTGATGTATGACGTTATTCGCCGGATGAGCCCTCTCTTCGTAGGGTATATACCTGGTGATCCCCAAATGGAGGTTTTGAAGCACATGGAGTATCAGCTTGTGCCCGTGAACAATGGGCTTTCGAGGCTGTCGAAATTATTCAATCATGGAAATACAAAAGTTAAGAATTTGGGGAATTTTGGCGGGAAGAAGATGATCAACTCTAGGGTTGATTATAGATTTTATGGTAATGGTAGAGAGAGTACTCAAATGCAATGTGTATCGGATAAGTCTGGACCGGTGTTGTCCACCTTGGCAAAAGAGAGCAACCAGAAGGGTAATGATGCATATAAATTGTTACCCAGAATAGAAGAAAAGAAGCTATTGAATATTGAAAAGGAAAAGGGTAATATTGCATCAATGACTATCAGCTGTCACGAAACTAAAGTTTCTTCGCGTGTTGAAGAATTAGATGGCAACTCCGACGAGTTTATTTTACTTAATCATGAGGGAGATGAAGATGAAGATGAAGAAGATGAGTGGGAGTTGATTGTTTAGGTATATGGTGCACAAGGTATTTGCAAATTCAGAAAATGGTTCTTATTTATTTTTTTATTTGAACAATATATATTTCAGTTTAGGCATATATTTTCTTCCTTTTTCTTCATTAGGGACATGAATACATTGAATAAATTAGTTAGGATTATTTTTTTCAATTTTTTTGTATTTAAAATCTTGACAATTAAGCATAAAGTCATAAGTTTGTGCTTGTTCTAGTCTGCTGGCTCTGCTTTTCTAAGCATGATTTTATGCAAGTCTCTTATGCATTGCTTACTTTCTCATGATGCCAAACAAATGACAATGTCTAAATTACTTGCAGACAGCAGACAATGTCATATATCTTAAATGTAATTGGAATTATGAATTACTATAGTACATTGAATGTACAGGAGGTTTGCAAATTTTGATGCATGTACGTAATCTCGGAATACTATAAAGTAACATTATATATATACTAGTTCATTCATTGTGTATAGCAATGTGAAACATATATATTTTGTGCAGCTAGATGGCCATAAGACTTTTTCATAGGTAATCAGTTTGAAAACTAGAACTATCCCTAGTTTATTTTATTTTTCTTCGTTTAGTAAGGAGGGAATAAAATTCTATTTGCTAAGTTCACAAGGTTGGTCGTGATCTTCAAATAACGCGAACTGTAATCTAATATTGTTTTGAGGGATTGTCCGCAAAATAAGAATGTCTAGGGGAAGATGATACTGGAAGAGTAAAATGCTGGGATTAATAGGATCATCAACTTGCTGAGCTCCCGGGGGCTTGGATAAGTTGGTAAGGTGAGGGGCTTTGGTTATCAATGGCCAGGGTTCGAGTCTTCCCACCTCCTTTAT